AGCGCCGTGGGGGTAGGCAGTCCCGTGGCGCAGGGGTGTCCCGCGGGCTTGCCTGCTCACCAGGGGCGCTGTCCCGGCTGGCCGGTGGTTGCGGTGCGGCGACAGGTAAGCACCAGCACAAAGTACCCCTTGTTACGGGCGGAAGACTTTAAACCTTTTTTGCGACCGTCACAGGGCACAGGACGCGAGCGCGAGGTGCGGGGCGGTAGTGTGTACCGGTGGAGGAGGGGCGGGGCGGGCCTCTATATGGCTCTCCGTCCGCCCCCTCCCCTCCCCACCTTACCCCCTCCGACCACACTCCGTCCAGTGCGACGCGACGTGCTCGGAATGGCCAGACCAGCCAGCCGAGTCCAAGCCGATACAACTTTGGAGACATGTCCTCCCCCGTCGGCTAAAAGCAGTCGGTACGGTATGGGCAAGAAGGCAGGCGACGCGCACCGCAGGCGTAGGCCAGGGGGGACAGCGACGAAGGTGTATGGACAGGAAAGACTTGGTACCTCATTCATGGCGACGCTATTGAACATTTTAATTATTAATCCCTTTGAACACGTGGGAGCGTGGCCCCACATGACTGCGGTGGTCAGCCGTGGGGCACACCTGACTCTGACTGATTGGTACAACCCAACCCACAGTCCTTTCTACACTCTCGGCACTATGAGGCACTCTCGCTGATACTCACCATTCGCCTCCCCGTCGTCCTGGCGCGGTGTTGGGCAGTGCGACATGGTGGTGGCGCGGGTCGGGCCGTTGGCGCGGCGCAGCAGTCCAGCCTGAAACAAACAAAGAGGACCCGGCGTTATCTCTCTGCACTGCACAGGACGAAGAGGCGTTGCGGCGGGGACCGCGCGAGCAGCAGGAGGTGGTGGCGGCGTGGGAGGAGGCCGAGGAGGCTAAGGTGGAGGCCGTGGTGGAGGCCGTGGTGGAGGCCGTGGTGGAGGCCGTCGTAAAGGCCGTGGCGGAGTCCGTGGTCGAGGCCGTGGTGAAGGGCGTAGTCGAGGCTAAGGTGAAGCCGTGGAGGAGGCCGTGGAGGATGTGGGGTGGCTTCCGTGGTGGGGACCACGTAGGAGGACGTGGTTGAGGACGTAATTGAGGTCGTGGAGGAGGCCGTGGTGGAGGCCACGGAGGGGGCCATGGAGGAGGACGTAGTTACGGTCGGGTAAGAGGTCGTGGAAGAGGACGTAGTTGAGGTCGTGGAGGAGGACGTAGTTCAGGTCGTGGAGGAGGACGTGGTGGAGGCCGTGGTGCAGCGCGGAATCGATTTATACCCCGCGCGCCTCAATGGCACCTTGCACGCAACGCGCCACCGGTACAAGTTAGCCCCCCACACCCCGGCCAGGTGCGGCCCGGGGCCCGTCGGCCCGGTGCGGCCCCCAGGTGCGCCACTACGCTATCCGGATCCTTCATACGGCAGACCGATACCATTCCATGCTCGGCTGGGCGGGGCGGGGCGGCGGCGGCAGGAAGAGAGTGTGGGAGGGCGCACAGCCGCACGGGCGCACACAACCGGGCCCAACCTGTGCATACACTGCCCCATAAAGGAATAAATGTTGTTGCCTTCAGAGAGCTTTCCCTGCGCGCAAACGAAAACATTCCACACGCCCCAGTGGTGCGGTGAGGGGTCGCACCTATCCGGGGTGACCACTCGCCCAGAATAACAGCTTTCGCACCAACAACCCCAGCAGCCGTGGTCCGCACCAGCGCCACGCCAACGCCCTGCAGCCCGGTCCGACGGTCCGACTCGCGGACTCGTCTCGGCGGCTAAGCACCCTCTCCGAACTCAGCGAGCCGACCAAACGACCTGCTTGTCGGAGCTGGAGGGCGGGGGGTAGGGGGTGTAAGTGTAAGGGCAGAGGCGCACTGGTGGACCAGGGCGACGGCGAGCCGCCTCCCAACGGCCCGTGAAATGGACAACTCTACCGCCCAAGTTAAATGTCGTCAAAGTTCGATCCCCTACCCCCTCCTCCAGGCGAGAGTGACGCGGGGCGGGGCGTCGTGTGGCGAGCCCCGGCCGCGCCTCCCACGGGTACAACAACACTGCGGCACTGTGAGCGCTGAGCGCCCGCCGCGCCGCCCCGCCGTGCCCAGGCCCTGCCCGCCACATGGGCCGGGAGCCCGGGAGGCTCGCCGGGATGAGGCCCCCTCTGAGAGGCGCGGGAGGCACGCACAACATCACGACGCGCCGCGCCTATCTCTCTCTCACGGCCGCCCCCGACACATCCGGAAAGAGAGAGGCTCCTCCTCCTCATCTCACCCTGCTGCTGCGACCACCGGAACCGCAGCTGCTGGAAGCGTCGCGGAGATCAGCGGGAGCACGACAAACAGGCCGTACACTCCTCCTCGGCCGCGCCCGCGGAGGCCATCCTAGACGAGCGGCGCGGCCGACACGGGGGGCTGCGCCCAGGGCTGCGCTCTGCTGCGCAGGCCGCTTGTCACGCTCCCGAGCGCACCGCGGCCGCGCGGGCGCCACGTGTGTCACCCTCGTCACGTCGCGTGTCGTTTAGGACGACAAGCAGGTGCGTTGCGCGAGTGTCCCGGGAGGACGTCATGGCGGAGGCCGTGGAGGAGGCCGTGGAGGAGGCCGTGGAGGAGGCCGTGGAGGAGGGCCGTGGAGGAGGCCGTGGAGGAGGCCATGGTGGAGGCTGTGGGAAACCGTGGAGGAGGACGGCAGGGGGCGGAGGGCGCGGCGGGTACCCGCGTATAACAGCGAGCGACTCGTCTGCTGATGTTAACTTTGAAACCAAGCTTTTCTTTTGTATTCGAGACGCACGGCAGCAAGGAAAACTCGGCTAAAATGAAGGAAAATAGGCGTCTAAGAATAGGGCAAAAGTAAAATGCTGCGGGGGGGGCAAATCATCTCCCCCTCCTTGTGTTGGAGGGGGAGGGGCCACTTTAAGGGGGGCGAGGTGCGGTCAGAGGCCGGGCCGGGTGTGGCGGGAGGGGCGATAGGCGGACACGGCCGGACAGCCAGGCGGATAAATATAGAGGGTGTGCGGCCCGGCCCGGCAAGGCTCTGACAAGGCGGCGTGGCGGGAGTTTTTGCCGGTGCCGGTGGTGGGTGCACTACATGGGCAGCGTGGACACCAAACGCACCCATGGCAACCTCGCTCAACGAGATCGAGTTTCTGTATACCCGTACCCATAGAGCACCTGGACCGTGCTGCTTGCTGGACTCCTATGGAGCCTGCGCGCGGAGCCAGGCCCAGCCTAGCGACACGAGATACGGGCGTCGGCGCCGGCGGCGGCAGGGAGCGGAGCACAGCACCACACACACACAGACAAAGCCTGCAGTGCGTGACGACTGTCACACCCGCGTGGCTTTCCTAACACCGCTTATAACCGCCTCGAATTTCACTCCAAGAGCCCGAGAAAAATCTGCACGTCTGCGCTGCTTTTTCCTTGGAGCGAAGAGTCCAAACCGTCCAAAGCCGCCTCGCAACCCCAGCTCAGTTCGGTTGACAGTAAGGCCGGCCCACGGCCCTCGCACTCAACGGCGCTTCGTCCAGGACACGACCTTACTTGTCGGAGCCGGCGAGGGAAGCGGGGGCAAGAGGGGGCTGCCGTCATTGCCATCATCGTTATTTCTTCTGACGATGAAGACGTTTCTTCATTCCTTTTACGTCCAGTCGCAGTCGCAGCAGCAGTCGGTTCGAGCGAGCGCGCGGCGGGCGCCCGTCAGGCTTGGAGGTCCACGCGCCGCCGTGGCCTGGCCGTCCAGACTGGAATGCTGGTAGGTGTCTCGTTATCTCGCGCCGGTATGGGCCCGGGTGGCCCGGCTCAAGGTCGCGGGGCGGGGCGGGGCGGGGCCGTGAGGTAATCCACCGGCCCCCCACCGGGCCCTGCCGGCCCCACGCACCGCCCCGCCCCCGCCCCGTCCCCGGCCCGAGGCGAGGTGTGTCACAATGGCCGGATGGAATAGGGCGTAAGGGAAAGGGAGAGGGTGAGGAGGGGGGAAAAGGTAAAAGGTAGGGGCGCGGGGCAGGGGAGGGAAGGGTAAGCCCGGGGCGCGTGCTGGCGACAGGCGAGCGGGGCCTTGGATTTCATTTCCACCAGATATGACGGCTCCCGCCCCGCCCACCCCTCCCGCCGACGGTCTGACTGACAGCGCGAGCACGGCCGCGGCCTCCCCGCGGCCTCCCCTGCTGCTGACTGCCCGGCGCGCGCTTCGATCTCGCGAGGGTTTGCGTCGCGGGCGACACGGCCTCGCCCACATGGCGACTGCCTCAGGAGAGCGTCCCATCTCGTCTTCCCCCTGTCTCCAGAGCCGCGCAAGTGCGACAAGTGCGTAGGTACGAAGGCGATCAGTCGGGTTGAGCGGACGCCAAGCAGGTGAAGGAGCGCCGCGCATCGAACACCTGCAGGCGCGGTGCTCCGGGTAACGAGGTGGGGGACATGGCGCAAAAAGCGAGACACAAGTTGGGAGAGCGGAGTTTGCTGGAGTCGCAGAGTCCCTGGTTGTTATCTCGGCCGAGTGAGTGAGTGAGTGAGGGGGCCCTTCTCTTCCCCTGCTCCCGAGGACTGGCCATAAGCTAGAGGACTGCGAGAGCGCACTACAGCACACACGGCGTAGCCGGGCCGAGGCTTGTGAGTGTATTGCGGGGGTAAGGAAGTGGGGGGAGGAGGAGAAGAAAGAAACAACGCCACTCGAGACACGAAACGAGCAGCTTCCTCCAGGCAGGAGGGCTCCGCTGCTGGGCTCCGCGCTGGCTGGCGGTCCCCCGCGCCACGCCCTGCTGCTGGGGCTGGGTTGTCACTGACCCCTCCCCCCCCTCCCCTCTACGCCCCGCCACCGCGGCGCCGCGCTCCAATTGTCTCGGTGCAGCAGTATTCGTTGTACAGCCCGGGGCCCCGCGGCCAGGCCCCCCGGCTCGGGCCCCGGACCAGAGTGCTATGAGCGGGGCCCGGCCGGCGGCGCTGGACGCTCCGTGGGAGCGGCCTCATGTAACGCGACAAACCTCTTGGACGCTGCTGGCTGGGAGGATGAAATCGCAGAGGACGCCCACCACAGCCCAAGGCCGGGTGAAAGTGGGCGAATTATAAGGGGCGAACAGAACTGATGCTGATGAGTTGTGTGAGGGCGACAAGTATTATTTCCGAGGGGGTCACCACCTCTGTTCTCCATCCTCTGTACAATTTCACCTCACGGGTTACGAAAGGGGTACAGGCGTAATCCGTATAATCTGCGACGATTATTTTTCCGAAATGGCAAGAAGTTGCACAAAATAATCTTTGCAACCCTTTGTAATCCCGGTGATGCTCATCCAGTAATCACCTACGTCTAGATACGTTGGTGGCCCCCTCGATAAATTTCTCTCCCGCTCTGCGCCCTACGCCGGAGCAACGGACGCACAGGGGGGGATGCGGCGACCGGGGTCGTCGGCGGTGAGGGACGGGTTGCCGAACCCGCGAGGCCAGTTACGGCCAGAGGGCCGCCCCCACCACGCTCGCCACCCGCGAGCCACGGGCCACGGGCCACGGGCCACCGAGCGAAAACAGAAAATTTGTCGTTTTCGCGGCGGCCAAGCTATAGGGCAGACGAAGCCGAACGCTTACAAACGCGGACAAAGCGCTGGGGGTCGGCCAGGCGTGAGTGAGGACGCTGAACCTAAACATAACCGCCAGCCCGGCCAGCCTGCCTGCGCCGCGCCCGCGCAGCCCGCGGCCGCGAGCCTCGTGGCCGCTCGTGCCGAAACGCGTTTACGGCGCCGCGAAGCCGGCCGCGCGGGGCAGGGCGGGGCAGGGCAGGGCCCTCGGGAGGGAACTGACTGGACAA